CCTAAACCCTAAACCCTGCAGGCCCCTAAACCCTAAACCCCTAAACCCCAAAATGCCCTAAACCCCAAGGAAGCCCTTCGGCCCTGCTGTGTCCTATGCGAAAGCGCTCCGGGAAGCTGGCATGGCCAAAGGTGGGCTCAGAGTGTAAGGACCTTTAGGGCTCAGAGTTTAGGGCTTATAGGGTTTGTAGGTTTTAGGACGCATAGCTTTTAGGCTTTAGGGCTCAAGGCGTTTTGGGTTTAGCGCTTAGGAAGTTTAGGGTTCAGGGTCTAAGACTTTTTAGGTTCAGAGTGAATCTAGGCCGGCGAAGAATTAGGGTCTATATAGGGGCTCCTGTTGAGAGGGTCGCATGGGGGCTCTATAATCTGTTGTATTAGGGTGCTGTAAGGTTCTATGAGAGGTCTACAATTGCATAGCAAGGCTCTGCAAGTATTGCTGCACTGCTATTGCTTCTTTCTCGTTCAACACTGCAGCCTTGCAACTGATTTCTGATTCTTAGGGTTCCTTTGGAAGGATCTTGATCTTGACGATCCTGTTATTCATAGCCTTACACTGGGGCCCCTTCTCTTCTCAAGCCAGGTGAGGACGCCGCCACTTCGATGCACTCTACAGGAGGGCTGAAACAAGATCGGGTTCAGGCTTTGGGAATTTCGCTCAGGACAAGGAGTTTTTGGACGTAGGGTTTAATTGGGTCTTTTAGGCGTTTAGGGCTTGTTGGGATCTTGTTGGGTTTGAGGGTGTACTCATCTATAGGGTTGGTAAGCTCGCTGACTCGTTGAGCTTGAAAGTTTGAGATTGGACTTCGAGGCTTTAGGCTTTTGAGGTTCAGGGCTTCAGAGCCTTCGGGCTTAGGCTTAGGGCTTAGCGGATTGATACAGGGGTGTTTCAATACGTGATTAGTTAAGATGCTTTGGGCTCCTGTTGGAGTTTGAGTTTCGACTCCAGAAGCCAAGCTTGTCGACTTTAGTAACTTAGCATTTGTGGCTGCAGCTGCCGCGTGGAAGGGCCCAGGCCAGTTTCAGGAATTTGCTCTCGGACAGGGATAAAGGGGGCTTTTTTTTTTTTTTTTTTTGGCAAAGTTGGAGAGTGTTGCATCGTTAGGCCAT